CTGGGCGACGAAGCGCAGGTCGCGGTGCATGGCGCGGACGAGGTCGATGGGAAAAGCGCCGTTGTCGTGGGCGCGGATCATGGCGACGATGTTGTCCAGCTCGACGATGTACGTTTCGACCTCGAACTTTTCCAGTCGCGGCGACGACGACTTGTCGCACTTGGCTTGCGCCAATGCTTTTGTTTTCTCGAGGTACGCCGACCAGAGGCCGCTCCCCGGGATCTCGCGCTGCGTCGGCAGTAGGGCCGTGTGCGATCCATCGGCGTTGCGGACGCTCTGGTGGCGAATCGACGGGTGTTCGCGAATTAGAGTTGCAATCTGGTACGTCTCGTACGACACTGCGAGGTTGCAGACGGTGCAAGTAGCGGCGCCGCTGGAGAGGTGCAGACGCTGTATCGCAGGAAGAGGAAGCCGAGTGTGGCACGATGGCTGCGGGCACGATGCGAGCACGTTGCGCATCGGGACGTCGAACGCAGTTGTGCCAAATTTGTTCTTGAAGAACACGTCGGGTCGGATTTGCTGCTGGCAGCGCGGACAGGGCCACGAGCCATTGCCGTGGTACACGATCTCCAAGAGACCGCGGTCGTACTCGGCCTTGCAAAAGGCGCAGACACCGATGAACGTCTTGAAGTCGGGCAGTCGCACCGACGACGTTGTCCCGAGCGCATAATTGAGCGGGTCTTGCTGGTACACGCAGTGCGCATAGACCTCGGGGTGCGCTTCCCCGTGCAGGTCCCGGTGACGCGCGACGTAAGCGGCCTCTGTGTCGAGAAGCCACTCGTAAAGTGCGAGCGGCGACTGCAGACCAGAAACGTGGTCGTGGACATCCTTGAGGCCGCGAAGATGAGCTTGAACATCGGTTACTGAGATGCCACACGGCAGAAGATTCGATTTCTTGGCGAGTGCAGCGCGGTCGGTGATGGCGGTGGCGACGCCGACGAGCTGGTCATAGACGCTGGCCGTGTCGTCGAGAGCTGACGTCGTCGTCAGCAGCTGAATGAGCTGCGCCTGGAGCGCGTGGGAGCCCATGTTGAGGACGAGCTTCTTGCCGTTGCGAAATTGAACACGAACGACAAAGGGCGTCGCGTCGGTGGTCGTGGCCGAGCACCCGACAACGTCGTACGACTTGGTGGTCGTGTCGCCGTAGTCGACGCGCAGGTGCTGACCGTCGAGCGAGAGGACAACGGGTGCCCACGGCTGGAACGGCAGCGACCCCTTGACGCTCGCGTTGACTTGGTACATGGTTGTGATTTGGAAAATGACAGCTTGAATGACACGCCTCATGGTCTGACGTCACTTTTGTTGAACAGATGTTGAAGCCGTTGTCGTGATCTGACTCTGATTGGTCCACGAATATTTGGGTCCTGTCCACAAGCCACTTTAGCATGAAATGAGCGGCGAAATTGCATCGTTGACGACCGTACCTTTGCGTTTCTTTGGTTTGGCGAGACTTCTTCAAGCGAAGAGAGCAGCGCGGGTGCCTCCACTTCCTGATAACGTGGTCGTCAGGTGGTACTTTGACCTGCCTCTCAAAAGCGAGCGAAGCCAAAGGGTGCAACGACCTCCCGCCAGACCCGTCGCTTGGAGTCGCTTGGTGCAAACAGCGGGAACGGTCAACGGTGTCGAAGCCGACGCGGTGCACGAAGTAAGGCTACCCTTATAGAGTCATTCGAATGACCTCCCTTTTAAAAGACTCTTTGAAAAGACTCTTTGAAAAGGCTTTTTTAAAATTATATCAAATGACTCTTTTCTATTTTCTAAACTAGGGCATGCTGGCCTGCTGGATCTTGTGCGCACTGGTCTGAGTCGCTGCATTGCTGGTACCGGTACGATGACGATAGACGGTGCGACCACCAGACATGGCCGCAAATTCTCGGCAAGGCTTTGGTCCCTCTCCTCTTCTCGTCAACTCGCTGGTCAGACATCAACAAGATGAACAGTCCGGTGATCCGCCTGCGGAGTGTCTTTACTCTGTTTCCTTCAGCAGTCGTGCCTTGCCTATCCGTGACCTAGTCTTTGACTCGATAATTGCGGCCGTCATCTCGTCCGAGCTCTTTTAGAAGCGCTGTGAAGCTTTGCAGCGCGTCTTGCAACCGCTCGCCGTGGTGCTTGGGCATCTCGAGGCCGACGACACGTTGAAGAGCAAGAAGCAGCAACTACGAGACGCTCGGCCGACGACACCAGCAGCATCGAGGAGCTCGAAGAGGATGGCAGCCTCGAGGTTCTTCTTGAGTCTATCGCCACGTTCAATGGCTGAGACATTCACGACCGCCTACTGTTTGGCGACAGCGATTCCGTGGACGACGACTCCTCCGACGAAGACTCTTCGTCTGACGAGGACTAAGACGAATAATCCATGTGCATAGTTGCTTATTGAAACACTGTTGTTGCATTAGCTGCATGCGCCATTGCACTTTCGGATATCAAAGACATAACGAAGGATATAAAATAGAAAAGACCATTTCAAAGAAATTCTTTATTTGATTCGCCGAAAATCCATTCGAATGATTCTATAGCTACCCTCGTACACGGACACGACCGTGGCGAAACGCTTT